CGCAGAAGGGGGTAAAAATTGTACCCGTATGTGGCCTTTTGTCTTAGTGCACGCATAGACTTAGAGCTCTTTAAAGATTAAGCTGTCATTTGGTAGCATTATTTTATTTCATTTTTATTATTTATTTATTTATTTATTTTTCTTTTCCTTTTTTTTCTTTTTCCTTTGTAACCATTTTTAAGATCTGTATTTGCTAGCAGTTAAGAAATAGAGCAATAGCCACTGTAACCACATGATTTAGAAACCTCTTTAATAAATCTGTAAGGGTGTGTCTAAACTACATGGCTCCGTCGATAGAGCCATGTAGATTAGGCTGATCAGCAGAGGGAAATGAAGCCGCAATTTAAATAATAGCGGCTTGATTTAAATTTAAATCTGATGATCAGCTGGTTGGCAGAGCATGGCAGCCATTTAAATTTAAATGAAGCTGTGATTATTTAAATAGCGGCTTCATTTCCCTTTGCTGATCAGCCTAATCTACATGGCTCCATCGACGGAGCCATGTAGTTTAGACACATCCTAACTGTTTAAGCTTTAACTTGACTCCTCCTGTTGCTGTAACAGAGCCAAACACAATTAAAAGAACTCCAGATGGTCAAAGGGGTAGACGCAGGCAGAGCTGCGTGTTTGGATCATGTCGCCTCCACAGGACAGATCCTTAGGGCACCTGTCAGCCATTTTTCGGCTGCCTGCTGCGAAGGGTCTTCTGCCCTAGCAGTTAAAGTTTCGGGTGTAATAAGCTCTCCCTGAAAATTCTTGGGGCACCTGTCAGCCATTCCTTGGTTGCCTGCTGAGAAGGGACCTTCTGTCCTAGCAGTTAAAGTCTCAGGTGTATAATAAAACTCACATACACACCACTCACTACCCCTACTGTCAGCTGACAAGTGGGGAGCAGGGGGATCCAGGCCCGCTCTCTCTTATGGGTCCCAGCCCAGGGCCCTGAGGACTAGTAAGCCCTATCCTGGGCTTCTTCCTACCCCCTGCGAGTCTGGTTCACGGTACCTGGGGTGTCCATTCGCCACCCAACTTCCCTTCCTGACCCCCCTCTTGGGCATCCTCCCTCTCCTCTTTGAATTCCCCCAATGGGGCAGTCCCACCTCTCGCCCCTCCCTCTGACCTCACGTTGCCCTTTAGCCCAACCCCTTGCATCCGCTACTTCTCTGTCTCTCCTCCCCCATGCCATGGGGGCCAGATGTCCTCCTGTTCCCCTGACACTGCTGCAGCTCAGCTGTGCCACAGCGCTAGAACACATGGCGCATCTGGGTTTTTTTACAGCTGCCTCCCCGGACAGCACGGGGATCGGAGCGGCCTTGGTGCAGGGCGATCTCACATCGCTGAAGTGGGGCAGAGCTGCTCTGTCACAAGGTGCCTAAAGAATCTAATTGATTGGCTGTCTCTGAAGAGAAACACTACCTTTGTATTTGAAATAAAATCTCTTTCTCTCTTCATTTTGACTGATTATACTCCTGTCATTTAGGAAGATGGAACAGACATTTTTAAGGAATAGAAGGGAAAGAACACCACAAACTCACCAGAAAGTCAGACTAACCCCGATATTTCTTTTAATACAGCAAAATTATTTTAGTAATATCAGGACAATGGAAGGAATCTAGAAAGAAGGCTTTGTGATACTCTGAGTAATGTTCCTCTATACTGGCTGAACCTCTCTAGTCTAGCTCTCTCTGATCTGGTACATCTGTGGTCCAGCATGATTTTAATTATTCAGATGTCCACTTATCATGGGTGTGGCCAAGTTTCCTGTGGTCCTATAAAGTTTGTTTACAGACATCAATCCTAGCTCTCAGTGTTCTGTGCAGCTCTTTAGCTCTAAGATACAACCCCTTCAATACAACCGCATCTGCTCTAATCCCACTGACAGAGACCAGAAGCTTCAGGATCTCTACCAAGCATTTATAAACCTCAACTACCCACCCGGAGAAGTAAAAAAGCAAATTGAAAGAGCCACACGAATACCTAGAAACCATCTACTTCACAACAGACCCAAGAAGACCAACAGTAGAATACCACTTGTCATCACCTACAACCCCCAACTTAAACCTGTCCAACACATTATCCTATACTGGAACAGGATACCATACTCCAAGAGGCTCTGGGAGACAGACCCATAGTCTCCAAGGGTACGTCTACACTACATGCCTCTGTCGGCAGAGACATGTAGATTTGTTTATTCAGCAAAGGTAAATGAAGCCGCGATTTAAATGATCGCAGCTTCATTTACATTTACATGGCTGCCGCGCTGAGCCGACAAACAGCTGATCAGGATCTCTACCAAGCATTTATAAATCTCAACTACCCACCCAGAGAAACAAAAAAGCAAATTGAAAGAGCCAGACGAATACCTAGAAACCATCTACTTCAAGACAGACCCAAGAAAACCAACAATAGAACACCACTTGTCATCACCTACAACCCCCAACTTAAACCTGTCCAACACATTATCAATAAACTACAGCCTATATTGGAACAGGATACCATACTCAAAGAGGCTCTGGGAGACAGACCCATAGTCTCCTATAGACAACCACCTAACCTCAAGATGATTCTTACCAACCACCACAGGACATACCACACTAATACCAACCCTGGTACCTTCCCTTGCAACAAACCCCGTTGCCAGCTTTGTCCACATATTCATTCTGCTGATACCATTATTGGACCTAACCAAGTGAGTTATAAGATCAAGAACACATATTCCTGCGCATCCAGAAATATAATCTACGCTATCATGTGCCGAAAGTGTCCGTCTGCTATGTACATTGGACAAACATCTCAGACACTTCGCCAAAGGATTAATGCCCACAAAACAGATATCAGACAAGATCACAAAGAGAAAACAGTTTCTTGCCACTTTAACCAGAAAGGACACTCTCTAAATGACTTAGCCACCTGCATTCTGCTACAAAGACCTTTTACATCTGCACTTGAAAGGGAATCCTCTGAACTGTCATTCATGTTAAAATTCGACACTTACCACCAGGGACTTAACAAGTCTTTGAACTTTCTCACCCATTATCAAGACAGTTTCCCCAATTATCACCTGTAATACCATTAACTCACAAACATCCCACTCTCCCTACCTCTAATATCATCAATTCACAGACACTTACCTTCCTTCCTCCCCCTTCCCACCCCCCCGCCTCCTCCTTCTGTTCTGCAATGTGATTTGTCCTTTTCATATTTGTTCTTTTTTTTAATTGTATCCTTTGGTATATATGGTTGTGACTACTTTCTTCCACTATTTGATCTGAGGAAGTGGGTCTGGCCCACGAAAGCTCATCATCTAATAAACCATCTTGTTAGTCTTTAAAGTGCTACATTGTCCTGCTCTTTGGAAAGAGGCTTGCAATCTAGACATAGCCTCAGATATAGGTGCATCTGCTGAGGACTCCTGCATTAGGAATGCACTTCACTATGGGATTGTTTTATTTTAAAAAAGGCACCACAGAAGCTAAATGTAATATACAAATATTGGCAATATAGTAATATGAAGCCAGACAAATTAGATTACAATTTTTGAGTTTTCTAATCCAAAGTTAACTCAATTACATTGCATGTATATTAGAAATATTAACTTTTTAAATGCCCTGATTTTTATGGTTGCCTTAGGTATGTTAACATTGCATTAATGTTTGATTTACATGTAATTGCCAGGAAGAGAAGGTGAATTTTTGGGCATTCCAATGCCAACCTCACTCATAAATAGTAGTGTTTCTCAAAGTGGGCTGCAGCTCCACTTTGAGAAAGCCTCTAGAGAGCCTTTGCCACTTTGTCTGCCTAAAGGATGTGTAGCCTTATGGCTCGCATTGACTCTGGTTCACCATTTCCAGCCAAGAGGAACTACAGGAAGCTATGAACCCTTTAGTTCAGGGGTGGGGAACATTTTTTGAGTCAGGGTCCTTTTTGACCAGTCATCTGAAGAAGTGGGCTGTGCTCACGAAATCTCATGATACCATCTACATGCTTTGTTAGTCTATAAAGTGCTACCAGACCACTTGTTGTTTTTTAAGTTTATCCTGTACAGACTAACTCGACTACCCCGAGGTTTCAAATTAGTTCATCAGTCTGCTTGTTTTATCTAATTGTTACATAGTTACTGTAACAAAGGTGAAATGGTTTTTGTCACATGATTTCCATTAACTATGATGAGAGCTGCATAGCTAAAACCTCACATATTGTTTTGAAAATAAACATGTAGTGCTTGGTATTCACTGATTAAAATATGTAGTGTGTGAGGTCTTTTTTCACTGATTAAAATATGTGCTGTGTGAGGTCTTGTCTACATTGTAACTTACATTTTCTATGAAAACAACAGCAACATCAGTAATAACTGTAATTCAAATTTTGACTCCTAACAACAAAAAGGGTAATAAACTTGTTTTCCTTACACAGGCAATAGATCCAGAAAAGTTGATGGAATTATTTGTATGAGTGAGATCAGGAGGATTTGGTTCAAAGTACCTTCTGTTTTCTTACTGGGATCCCTACATGCCTCACTACAGAGGAAGATTGAAGCTGCCGCTGTTGATCTTCCAGGGTTCAAATTTGTGGGCTAATTAAGAGAGCTAATTTGAAGTGAGAAGAGGACTCCAGTTGATGCTGGTAACCTTGTTTTCACAAGAAGGGAAGTCAAAGGAAAAGTGTTCTTCTTTCAACTTTCTGCAGTGTAGACACTGCCAAAAGCCGAGTTAAGCTACTTTGACTTCAGCTACGCACTTGATGCGGCCGAAGTTGCATATCTTAATTCGACTTTGTCCCGTAGTGTAGACATACTCATTGGGACTTAGAGCTTTAAAGCTATTTTCTTCTTGACTAAAGCTGCTTGAATTAATTCAAATGAATGTAGTAGTTCCATTAGCTAACATTTCATTTTGGTACCAATGGATTTTTTCATCTTTCAGTTATGTCATAAATGGGAAAGCCTTAGCTGTAAACAGATTGAACTATTAGAACTTTATAGACGATAAAATATGTTCACTTACTGCCCTCATGCTTTCAAAGTGTCCACCTTCTTTCACAAAATCTATTGGCTGCCCATTCAAGGTCCAATAGAAAGTAACCTCTAGTGTGTTGTCATGAATGGCTTTGCAGCTGAGGACAATGCTTTCTCCAACGGTTAACTCAGTCCTCTTGGGAGTCAGATCTATCCTTGTTGGTTCTTGAAAACAGAAAACAATTAGTAATAATTAAATGCAGGTCCTGTGATATTCCAACATCAATAGCATTTTCTTGAATTCTACTTAATTCCATAAATCTTGTCTGCCTGCTGGGCTGAATGTTTTTTCTTTCTGAGTACACAGGATCAAACTCTGCACTGTGCTGTGTGGACCAACAATGAGGAGGCAGCAAAGGCAAAGAGAGCCAGCAACAATCTTCTTACTTTCATAAAAGCAACAAGGCATAATCTCAACTAGTCATCACTGGGAATGCTGGGAAGGGAGACCTCCTAACATACTGGCTGATGCATTGTGCTCAAGAAATAGTGTTACTAAATTTTGGGATTTCATCATGAGCCTCACAATATTTTTTAAAGCACCAGCTTCTGGAATCTTGTGATTATACAACAATCTCAACTTTCATTTAAAAAAAAAGAGTATATTTCTCCCACAGTTGCAGGAAAATTTTTTGAAAAGCAGACCCCCTAAAGACTGAAACACCTGAAAACATATAAAAAAGAAACCAATCTCACGATTTGGAGGGTTTTATTCAAGATTTGGGTATGCTTGGCATGGGCAATAATACTGGGAATGCAGTCCTCCGGGTAGAAGGCCTGTCCGAATACACTATAAGAGCTAGTCAGTATGACGGAAAGGGAAGTATGTGTTAGCAAGGGGCATGTACTATTCTTTTTAAGAGAACAGCAAGCTGGAGCCAATAACATAACCCATGGCCCTGCTTTGAGCCATCATCTTGAGCAACTTTAGGGCTTGGTCTGTCAAGGCGCAGAGCACTCTGCTCCTAAAAGTCACTGTAAATACCCGCATACAGAACATCTGATTTAAAAATGTCTCTGGGTTGGGCACAATGCACTCAGCAACTTATAGGATTGAGCCTCTGCTGCTGGTTAAATTGAATGTTCAGTGCCAATCTGCTCCCTCACATCCAAGTGTAATAAGCTCAGTGCCATTCAGGTTCTGGTTCTTTGTGATGATCAAGTTTGAACTATCTCCCCTGGTAGTCAGAGGTTCAGTTTCTTCTATATTATATTTCTATGACCCTTCCTTCACCCCCACACCTGGGGTGAAGGTTCTCCCTTTAGAACAAACTGCATGGTAAGGCTCTGCAGGACAGGTACAAGACTGACATGGAGATATAGATTATCCAGAATATGGGGTTGCACAGCACCCCTGATATGTGTCAATAACAAACAGCTGCTACCCAGTGGAATGCATCTCTCATGTATCTTTAAAAAATGCTCTCTGAATGGTCATTTATTCATTGCTGATTTATAACTCAGAGGGAAGTGTTGCGTACATTTAAGATGACTGATCTTTTACCTATAAATCAGACATCACCTGTATTAATAAGAACCAAATGCCTGGTAAACTAGTTTTAACTGAGTAGTTAATGATGTGATGGACTTCCAGATATTTCTTTTAGGGTTTGTATGGCTAAAAATAGTACTTTTATTGCTATACTTTCATTACTGTGTGCATGAAGAAAGGATAATTCTTTCTGGAAGCTAGCATGTCTGAAAGTCAGAGGGTATATACAGGCAGTCCCCGGGTTACGTACAAGATAGGGACTGTAGGTTTGTTCTTAAGTTGAATCTGTATGTAAGTCGGAACTGGCGTCCAGATTCAGCCGCTGCTGAAACTGATCAGTTTCAACAGTGGCTGAATCTGGACACCAGTTCTGACTTACATACAGATTCAACTTAAGAACCCCAGGCATCCCCAAGTCAGCTGCTGCTGAAACTGATCAGCGGCTGATTCCAGGAAGCCCGGGGCAGGGGCTTCCTGTAGTCAG